GTTAAATTAGATAGTATATAGTACTAGTAATAATTGATCCTAAAATGTAACCATAAATTTGTATTATATCAAATTAAATTAAAGCTAATAAAAACCAACTGGCATTGTTGCCAAAGTTCAAAAAAAAAAAAAAAAAATTAAATTAGGATAATTAAAATGTATGTAATAGCTCATTAATGAAATAATGAAGCATTTATTATTCTGAGATTAGATAATTTTATTGCAAATCTGATTAGTGTTTTGGTTTTGTTTATATTCTATTTTAGGTTAGTCTAATGTTTTTATTAGAGTTCTTGTTAAATGCAGGTTTATAATGCTACTAGGTTTATGATTGCATATAATTAATTATTGTTTAAGTTGTTATGAATATTAGTAAAAGAGTAGTGATTATCAGGCCCAGGGGTTTGAAAAAAAGTGTATGCATATGAATTGTAAAGGAAGAAAAGAGCATTATAAGGATGACAGTGTAAGAGATAATAGCCATCTTTTGTTTTACTATCACTTGCCTTAGAAAAGTTTGGCTTATTTGTATTTCTACTCTAAAATTGAATAAGTTTAAGTTTAAATAAGTTTAATAAAGTTAAATAAACTAAAAAAATAAAAAAATAAAAATATATAAATTGTTTATAAGCAAGGTTTATTGTTTTGATAAGTAGTTGTTTTTAATTTTTATAAGTGCTTTCTTCATGATGCCTGTAGTTAGTTGGACTAAGTTAATATTAAGCAAATTGAAAGACCTTTGCACATCATGTAGCCTGGATAACAAGGACAACAAAGATAAATTAAGCAAATAGTTATATGTTTTTTTAAAAAGAAGAAGGGCAAACAGTCAGCTCTCTTTTTGGAAAAGACTTGGAGGTTACTAGAAGTGGTAAAGTGAGCTTTAAAAGGAATACTAGTGGTGATATTGGTGATGATTTTGATATAAAAGGGTTTGTAAACTTAGAAGGTAATAATGTTAATGTAAATTTACAGAAGAAAGATAGTAAAATTAAGGATAAGTTTGTTTCTTATTTTTCAGAAATAGAAAAAGTGAAGTCAGTGCCAGTTGATATATTTTTGTTAACTTTGAGTAACTTGAAAAAGAAGATAGATGAGAGTCTTTCTACCTTGCACTCTGAGATAAAAAAAAAAGAGTTGTTAAACAAAGCATGGTTTAAGGTAAGGTTATCAAAACTATGAAACTAGCATGAATACAATTTTTTAGTAAAGTTAGATAGGCATTAGACAGAGCAATTAGGTAATTGGCAGCTTCCCTCAGAAAGAATTTTACTAATGTTTATGATGAGGTTGAGATGTGAGCTGTGACCTTGATATTAGCTGATAATAAGAATTGGAGCACAACACTGCAAATAGTTAAAAGAATAGAATAATGAAGAAATTTAAGAACTGTATTCTTTTGGTTAGTCAGTTAGAGCCTGTATTACATGCTAGCAATTAGAATTATCACAATAAGTTGAAGTTCTATCAACTGAAAAGAAAAAGGTTTTCTTTACTTTCATCAGAATCAGATAGAGAAAAATTATACAGAAAGAGTAAGAGAAGAGACAGAGGATCATATTCCTTTTATATTAAAGAAAGTTTCAGATTCACTGATCATCAAAAAGCAATTACATGCTTTATCTGTAATAGAAAGGGTCATATTGCCTCTAACTGCCTTCATATAGTATCAAGACAATTAATAAATCCAAAAAAGAAGATTAACTATACTCATAAGAGTGTATTAGAGAAGAAGCTAGTAGATGTAAACACAGATGTAGTGGAAGTATCAGTTGTAAGCAAGATGCAGTCAGTAGATGCATTAAATTATTAGAAACAGAAAGTGGGCCCAGCTCTAGTAGTTATGAATTAGTTAGTAAATGGTGTTCTATTGTATTCAAGAGAAGCTTGGTACTTGCAATTCAGCTAATCTCAAAACAGTACATTTTCTCAGCAGATCAAGAAAAATAAGTACAAAAGGAGTTAGATTGGTTAGTAGCTTCATCAGCAGTAGTATGTTTAGGAAATCAGTTAAAAAGATCAGAATTTCTATTAAAGATAAGTCCAGTATTCCTAGTACTCAAAAAGAAACTCAAGAAATAAAGAATGGTAATAGACCTAAGATGCCTAAATATAACATTATCTGAAAAAAGTATATGACTAGAGGGCTTGGAAGGCTTGTTATGTACAATAGGCAAAGAATGATATATAATAATATGAAACCTAAAGAATGGATATTATCATGTAATAATAAAAAAAGAGGCACAATGTTTTCTTGGATTTCGAGTGTTAGACAAGTGGTATCATTACAGAGTTCTTCCTTTTGGTCTGTTCCAAGCTGTTTGGATCCTTTCAAAAGTTATAAGAACTATTGTAAGTCATTAAAGGTCTTTAGAATTGTTTTGTGAAAACTATTTGGATGATTTTTGGTTGGCACATTCTTCCTTAGATATTTTAATCAAGATGAGAGATAAAATAGTAAAAGTAAACTTGAAAAAATATGGTCTAGTAAGAGAGCCCAAGAAGGGTTAGTGGGTGCCATCACAAAAGATAAAGTTTTTCAGATTAGTAATAGATACAGTGAAGGCTCAAGTAATAGTTCCAAAGAAAAAGATTATAGAGACCAAAAACTTACTATAGGCATTAGCAGAAAAGAAATATGTTTTAGCTTAGAAGTTAGCAGCAATAGCAGAAAAAATTTAATTTTTAAACAGAGTATTTGTCTATGCCAAGGTTCATTGTTTGGAGTTCTATATACTAATCAATGCAGTAAACAGAAACCTTTGGTAGTGGGACCTTCTAGTAAGTTTAACAAAGCAGGTCCAAGAAGATGCAAAATGAGTGACACTAAACTTGAGAAAGCAAAATAGCTGTTTAGCTTAAAAGCTCTTAAGGATGAAGTAAGTGTTTATCAATGCTTTGACAATTAGATGGTCAGCAGTTTATAGAAAGTGCCAGGCTTTTGAAAATTAGAAGTCAAAAAGATCATACAGAAAAATAACAAGGTTAGAGACAAAGGTTGTAATTCTGAGAATAAAGTCTTTTTTAGAACTACTAAAGCATTTTTGGATAGACTTACATATAGACAATCAGGAGGCAATCAGTATAGTTATAAAAGAAAAAAGATTGCAATAGTAAAAAAATTTGTTGCAAAGGCTGTAAGAACTGTTAAACAGCACTGATATTTGAATCAGTAAGGTTTTCTGAATTTCTTCAGAATGCAACCTAGCAGATGATCTGATCCAATAGATGGATACAAATAATTAGAGCTTAAGTCAACTAATTTTTGACCTAATAGAAGAAAGGTGAGGCCTACACTTAATCAACCATATGGCAGACCATTAAAACACAAAGCCAAGTTATTTCAACAGCAGATTTTACTGCTCTGGATTTGAAAGTGTAAACTGCTTCATACAGGATTCAGTAAGAGAAAACAACTACATTTGTTCTTCATTTGCTCTTATTTATAGAGTTCTTTAATATATAATAAAAAGAAGAGCTATAGCAACAGTTATAGTCTCCAAATGGACCTCTGCAGAATGGTAGCCAACCTTATTATATATTCAAGTCAATTTTATAGCACTGTATTTATTAAAAAGGTCTTTTATAAAAGGAGTATTAGGAGAAGTAAAGCTATGAAAAAACCAAAGTTGGCAGTTTCTGATAATAAGAATAAATTGGTGCAGTAGTTGCTAAAAAGGGCACTGTTGTTAGAAAGAAGTGCAGTTTCAAGAAATTGAAATCAATATTTAGATGAAGCATGAAATTTATATATGAACTATTGTAAGTTTATAGGTTTGACAGCTTTACTATCTTTAGTAGATACACTAGTGTCTTGTATAGTTTGTTGGATTTGACTCATTCATTTGCAGGTTGTGGAGATGTACTGGCAGCAGTTTCAAGTAAACATTTAAAAACTCAACTACCAGACTCCACAAAGGAATTTAGAGTAAAAAGAGTTTTTCAAACATTGTTTAAAGAGTATAAAAGAAATAAAAATTTATTTACCCTAGTATTACCATTAAAATTTTTACTCTTATATGATATATGTAGTACAAAATATAAATTTATTTTTTTTTATTTTTTTTTTTTTAACCTTAGGCAGTTACGCTAGTACTTTATTAAGATTCTAGAAACTATAAAATTACATAGAA